CCTTTTTGCCACATATGCTCTTCTTAGACCAGGTGCTTATATTCCTATATAAAATACTTCAAGTCCACTTTTCCATTGCTGATAGAGTACCTGAAAACTTAATTGTCCTGCAGTGGAATGTTATTGAATGTGTAGCACAGATATTTGATAACTTTCATGACAGGGCTAGTGCTGACTCTATCCAGAAAGTTTCAAAAAACTCTGAATATCACTTTTGTGGGTGTCAATGATATGCAAAGTCTATTAAAACAGAGTTCTTGAATGTGCTATGGACAATTTTCTAATGTCGAGATATTTTAAGATATTTTTAAAAATTAATACAAAGATCCATATCATAGCCTGGCCAATTACAGCACTCAGTGTGCAAGTAAAACTGTGAAATTTACTTTCCTGCCTTGGATTACTGCCCAAGGCATTGCATAGGTTCAGCATGTCATGTCTCAAAACATTAACATGAAATTTCAGCAAAATGCAGATGAACTGCATCCACAGGATGGCAGCAGAAAAGTAGAAAATAGCTGTCAGGAACTCTACTGTAAGTCGATGACTGCTGTTATGATTCAAAAGAAGAGAAAACATTTTTTGGCAGCCACAACTATACGAATTTGGACTTAAGACACCCTGTGAATAATGGTTATTATTCTAGGATAGATTCTCAGGGCTCAGGAAAAGAGAAAAAAGATAAATATAATGAACTGAAGATAGGCAACTTACTTGTTCATTATGATCACACCCTTATGCACTTACTTCAGAGGTATTAAAAAAAGGCAAAACAGGATGACTTCATTTCATAGCACACCTTGAATTCTAAATATTCCTGGCCAAAATTCAAACCCAGATGTCTGGCAGCTGTAGTAAAACTGATGAATTGTTGGTTATCTGATACAATCTGACCTTGATTTACTCTGTGGGAGATGACCTATTTCTATTCTGCTTTTTGTTTAGGTTTGGGTTATTTGTTGTATCCACTCCTTGACAAGAGTCTTGGCTCATAAAGTTGATGCTTCCCAAGTTAATTCACAAGAAGATATTTCTCATTTATGAGAACAATTCCATTTTAAAGTCATAAAAATCTCAAAATATTACTTCTTCATAGAATTTTAACTCTCTTCCATTCATACATATATTACAGGCAGAACTAGGAAACAGCAATGTTATTGCAAGCCCCTCAGGCACACACATTACAACACAAGCCATAATTACCTCATCACACAATTTTTTTTTCCACATCACTCTGCCAGTGTACAGAATAAAGAGAGCTTGAGGGTAAGACATAAATGTGGTGAAGAAAACTTGGTTTCCCTCATCTGCTGCAGAAGTAAGATGCACTGTGAGTAAGGCTGGGGACTGCAAGACGAGAAAGCAGTCTCTTGGTTAAGGTAGTTGTGTGCTGTCAGGAGAAAGGATACAATCCCTACCCCTGCCACAGAATTCATGTATGATGTGAGCGAGTCACTTAAAGCTAACTAAGTGATCATTAAGTATGCATTTCACATTTTCTGGGCTGTAGTTTAGCACCTTCAGGTTTGTGTTGCTGAAGTGCTGAGCACTTACAGCTGCAGTGGAAGTTATGCTTTCAGCCCATTCCCTCTCCTAACAAGCTCAGTGATTGGATTGTTGATACCACACATACCCGACTACAGTTTTCCTTTTCTGATGGACAATATTAAAGTTGTTTTTAACAATATCTTTTTCTTCTGTGCCTCAATTTTGACATCACCTCCTTTCAAAGCAGTATATGGAAAAGCACTCTAGGAGTGCCCAAAAATGTTTGCAAGACATTAATAACTTTCCTTTAGAAAAGAGTTTCCAAGGTTATGGAATAGTTTGGTTTGGCCTTCAAGAGCGTCATGACCAACCAAAGACTTTTCAGAACCTGTTGACTAGTCCAGAATAGCACAGGCCATTAAGAAGTTAAGGCAAAAGGCAAGAGAAAAAAATGACACAAAAGATGAATTAATACAAGTTCTTTACATTGTGGAGCTGGGTTAACTTGCTTATTGGAAATCAGCTAGTTTATAGCTAGTCATGACAAGCATCCTATAAAATTCGTGTATTGAAAAGTAAAAAAAATAAGTTAACGTTATCAAATGATTGTTACCACCATGTGTTGTCTGGAAGACAGGAACCTGCCTATGACTAGCATTAGTAGCATAACTTCACCTTTTAACACAACTTCATCATCTACCTGAGAAGCATTTGAAATCTATACAGCCTCTAACATCTCTTATTTTAGCAGTTGTGCAAATCAGCTGAGATTTTATAAAGAACGTACAGGCAAATGTTACGCTAAAATGGTATAAAATCTGAAAGTACTCATCAAGAATATAGGACAAAATACTTAATTACCACAAATGCAGGCACTAGTAAATGAAAACGTAAATATGTAGATGAGTGTAAATGCATACAGAATCCAAATCTCCTAAGATTTTGAAGCAACCTTAACTCTGCCCTGTGGACAGCTGATGAACAGGAAACTAAAATGTTTGCTGTGTATCATACATGCTGCATATGTCCAAATTGTTTGCCACACCCCTATCTGGCCAATATGATCCCCAAATAACCTTGAGTACGATTTATGAAACACCTTTTGTATTATGCTGCACAATACTGGCAAAGCCCCAATGGTTTGGCAACTGGCTGGTCTCCAAGAGGAGTTGTGCAGAAGGAAAAGGAGGCTACCCAGCCTAGTCTCCTGTGTATGGTAGTGTGAACTGGCCTCCTTCCACACACTTTGCTTTCAGTCCAACCTACAGCTGCACTTTGCTGCTGGTTTGTGGTCATTTCACTGAGTATATATTTGAATGCTAAACCAGTGACAGAATGAGCAAAGTTGTTGTGCCTAGATTGCCTTTTGAGGGGAAACTGGAAGCCAGCTTCAGGAGCAGATTCACTCTGGATGCAGCTTAGTAGTGAAAGAGGGCATCATCTTAAGTATGAAGGACCTCATATCCAAACCCAGATCAGGGAGCTGCATGTACCGTATATGTCTGGAAAGACTGTTCAGCCCTACAGCTACTTGCAGAAGCTGGAAATTCCCAGCAAACTCTGGCAAGTTGTGGAGATCAAAGAAGTATTACAAGGAAAGACAGGACCATCAGAGGTAGGCAATGGTGGCTGTAAACTGTAGCTGGTTTTAGCTACAGTTAGAAATAGAACTATAGCTAAATAGAAGAGTAAGATTTCTGGGAAGCAGGTTAAGTCACTGTAGTTACTAATTTTCAAATAGTTCTATGAAACATGAAGCTTTGCCCCAGTCTAAAAAAAACATGTCCTGCAAGTAACTTCTAGAATTAGTCATTTCCTTATAGCCAACCTGACAGTGATGATTCCAACACTTTTGGAAATTTTTAGAAAAAATCTAATCTACAGTATATATCAATGTCTTTCCTGGTACAGGTAGATTTGTCCTATGAGCCTTTTTATATGAATAATACAAAGTGACAAGTTTTCTATCTGAGTAGATAGAAACCCCAACAACTCAGTTGCAAGTAAATTTCTGAGGTGAAATACCAGACAGCTATTACTGCACACATAAGCTTTTTTAAAAAGAAAAATAAGGAAGAATTTGCTATAATCTCAAAGTTAGCAGAAACTATTAAAAACAACTACTAGCTACAAGTACAGATGCCCTAGAATAGATATGTTAGATTATTTTTATCATTCCTAGTGATGATGAATATTTTTGTTTCCATTAACATAAATGGCTTTTCCAGTTATTTTTCTTTACTTCTTAAGAAGATATTTGTGGCTGCTACATTTAGGAATGCAAAAAAGATATTTCTAACAGAGATTAATTATAATTATATCATAGTTTGGTTAAAGGAATAATTCTTGCCAGGAGAGCAATTTCCTGAGGTGTAATAAATACACTAGCACTTAGTATAAGAGCTTAGTGCTTTGGATTCCAAAGTAGCCTAGTATGATTATTTGAATATTTGATACAACCACAACAGTGGACATCAATTTCTTGTGTGAAGAAGCATATAATTTTAAAGTGACAATGAAAAAGAACAGAGAAGGCAGTCTACAGCTTTCCTCTCATGATGGACAATACTAAAGTCAGTTGCCCCTCTGTCCAAAAACTTAGATTTGTCAGCAAGGCATCATGCATATATAAACTGGAAATACCTTTCACGATCTTTGAAACTTCTAGGGAGGAAATAGGGATAATAATGTGACAGAGAAAGGACACACTGTCCCTGGGGAGAAACATCCCAGTCTATTCAAGAAAATACAGCTTTTACATTTTTACACTTGACATACAACACTGTATGACTCAAGTTTTCTTCCTTCGGTTCACTAACTGACATAAGATCGGCATTAAAATGTACCCTGTATCTGAAAAAAAAGCCATCCCATGTCATCTAGCATCAATACTTGCAGGACATGAAAATTGTCCTGAGCTTTTTGGCAGGAACCCTGAAAGGTCAGAAGTCCAAGACATTTTTGTATCCTCTTAAGGCTGAGTATATATACTTCTAGTGACCCTGCATACAAATTTGTTGCAGACTAATTAACAGCTCTGTATGGTTTAAGCCCAAATTTCTTCCAGAAAATGCTGTTCAGTTCCAGATAGTGATTTTTATTATCATCTCTACCATTTCACAGCTAACTGACAAATGAAGCTATATTGCTGTTCTGGACTACCTACTGCCTTCATAGATAGTTGCACTAGGGGAAACCTGGAAATATTCCATTACTGTTTTCAGAAATAATACTCATTATCTGTGTTTTACATTACAATAGCAGTTAGACCATCTTTCATACTAAACTATATTTGTGGTATTTTCGTGATTAGGTGATATTTGATGCAAAATACATACCAAATAGCTCAAAAAATCTCATTTTTTCCCTTTGCTGTTTGTAAGACAAAGTATTTGTTTGGCCCACTCAAAACATCACTACCTGTGTAAAGGTCATACATAACCATTTCTATTTACCATTTCTGCTCATACAAATAGTGTCAGTGAGGTTAGGAGAGCTGTATCTGCACATACCTTCTGTCTGTAGGATACAGCTCCACAGTAATGACATCTAGAGAATTCCATGCCGAGATGGTGAGGCCATTGTAGAGGCACAGCATACCTATCATCATGGATTCACTGGTCCCAAACCACAGGAAAAAACAGCTGATGCCAGAGAGAACCATGGAACCACCTAGGTGTGTGACAGGTGAAACAAACATGAAGTGGAGCTGTATTTAAAGAATTATTTTTATTTATTTTGTGTAATGTTCCCATACACATAGTGCAGTTAAATAACTGAGTGCGGTGGTTTGACCTTGGCTAAATGCCAGGTACCCATATATTTGAGTTAAAAAATTAAGAGACATTCTCTGCTGGTAAGGTCAGGCAAACATTGTAAGGGGGTCATAGGAAAAAAATGTAACTCCTCAAATATTAGTATATATCATAAAATATTAAGCTGGAACCCTCTCTGAACTCCCCAAGCAAGCTGCCTGAGGAAAAACTACCCCCCATTCTTCCTTGTTCATCATCTTCTGCAAATACATGAAATTCATTGATATATTGTAGCAATAAAAACACTAAGTGGGAATTTCATTTATATAGAGACATTATCCTAGACAATGAATACAATGAACTATCATATTAGTTAGATAAACTGAAAACAGATTTGTAATTGCAGATAATCTGCAGGAGATATCTTTCCACCATGTTACTTTCCAAAATAGGTAACAGGCAAAGGACAGCAGCTGACCCTTCCAAGGAGTTGCTCCACCAGCTGAGGGTCACCTGAGCACATCTTGCTTTCCTTTCAGCTTGAACAAAGACAAGTCAACAGTCAATACTCTCCAAAATCTCATCTCAAATGACTAAATAATGGTCTTGTAAAATCAGCGTGGAAGAGCAATGACTGATAATGTGGCATAGCAGAACTAGTTACAGAACCATTTGTTCCTAGAGTTTCTAAACTGGTGGCTTTTTAAAATGGCACTTACAATGCTGCATAAACTAAGTATTTGCAGAAGAAATGTTTTACATCACTTTGAACCAAATTCTTTAAAAAGAGCATGTTATTTTATCAGGAGAGCTTTAGGTTTTGATGGTGTTCCCTGTTTCAAAATGAAGCCCCTTACCTAGCATTGTTAATCGTCCAATTCTATCCATCAGGAGAGCGGACACAATATTCCCTGGTAACACTGCCAAAGTTCCCAGGAAATTAACAAAGTAAATCCAGTAGGCACTGTAGTCATCATCAAAAGAAATCTGGCATCCTGTCCTGATGTGGAAAAATGTGCAATTTATCAATTCGCTGTCAACAAATTTATATTGCTCAAGATCTGTGGAAAGAAGAAAAAGCAACATTTCAGCTAACAGCCAACTCCATGTGCAGCTTTTGATTAAAAGCATTTCAAGTTTAGGCAAATTTAATGACAGCTTGGAGTTTTCACTGCTTCATAAAATGGGACTGGTTATTGCTGTTAATTTTGATCCCTTTTTATCTTAATAGAAAAATATTCAAGGCTCATGAAAAAAAGCAACTAAGGCCTGAAATTAGGCAAATTATATTACTATATTTCAGCTCTGCTTGGACTGTACTTGGTTAAGGTCTTTCAGCACCAGTCTTGCATAAAAAGCACTGGGTATCTGCAAGTTTCTATCACTCGGTCTTGCTCAGTATCAGACCTTCTAGTTCCACACCAGACAGCCTTTCAGATGAGACTGCCATCATGGCCAGTTTGGTTTGACTTTTTTAAAGTGAACCATTCCTACACAATTCAGATTATACTAATTTTAATTTCTGAGAAGATATCATGATCTTCAGCTTAAACATGGATGAGTTACTACATGCTATCGTTCAGGCCATTCTTATTCCAATACCATTTCAGAGATCTCTTCCTATATTTCTACTTTCTTTCTGTTCCTTCTGTCAGCCTTACAACATTGAATAAAGGATATCTTCCTTCCATGCAAAGAAAGCTGGACATTGCTTTCTCTGAAACCTAATTCTATTGCTAATATGATATGATATTGTTAATATTGCTAAATTGCTGGAGTTATGGGAAAGCTGTAATTAGTGCCCCATCTTTCCAACAAGTTTAGTTGGCCATGTTCTACTTTCAGTTATGTTTTATTAAACTGAACAACCCCCCAGTCTTCTGTTAAAACATATGAAAATACACATTCATATTTTTGTTACAATATTTAAGAGTGTAGGAATAATTATAGATTAGGTAGTTTGAATCCTGAACTCAGATTCCCATGCCACAGCAAGTGCAATGAATCAGTTGTATTTAAACTAAATAAATTTACTCTAGTTAAAGCTACCAGTAAAGCAGTAAATATAATTTCTCCTCTCCAGACTGAATGTCTTTAGAGATGATTAAAATCAAAGAGATATTTATTATCTGAGTCAATATTAGATCTGTAGTATCTCTAGCATGGGTGTGATCCTTTAATGTTTTTGTTATAACATTACAGAGGTCTGTTGTTTTTTATAGCTTTTTATTCCCTACAAGAGAACTTCTTGTATGCCTTATTAGAAATCCAGAAATTATAAACATAAGATGAAGACATGCAGCTGAACAATGGATGATGAGTGCTTCTTTCTCATAATACCTGTGTTGTAGAAGGTGGTATTAATGAAAGTACAGTTCCTGAAGTATGTGTTCAGTGAAGTAATGTCTTCAAACACACAGTTCTTAAAAAGTGAATCTTCAAAGATTACTGATTTAAACTTCATCATAATAAACCTGCCCAATACAAATAATTTCTGTCAGTCTTCCTTCACAGGTTAGAAAGAGCAACAAGTCAAGCTGATGCAGCTATACATGTCTAAAAAAACCTTCAACCCTGGTAACAATGTTTTCTTAAAGGCATTCTGGAAACTTAATTAATGATTAGCTGATTCTCAAATATTATCATTCAGAAAAATAATTAATATGATAAAGAGCTTCACATACCCATGGCTGGTAATACAATTTATTTGATAATATTTTTGCTATTACTTGTCTTTAATCATCAACAAAACCCAATGTCATGACATTGTAAAATTGCCTTGTAAAATACAAGTAGCCTTGTAAAATCACTATTACTTGTAATTTGACATTACAGTCAGAAATGGGAGATCGTGCTCCAGAAACTCAGTCTCCTGGAACAAACAAGCACCTGATATTACCAACAAGTTGGAGAGAAAGAGTTTTTTAAAGAACCTTTATTTCTCCAGATGAACACACTAGGCACTGTGTCAGGCTCAAATGCAAAACATACTGGTCCAGGTGTTAAAAACCAGTTTTGCAAAATGGTTTAACATTACATTGCTAGTTATACAGCTAGCTATCTAACTGGAAGTATGTGTGTTGCTTCTGTGTCTGTGGATGCAACTGTATTACTGTGGACATAAAACAGATATAAACAAATTGTCAGTAGCTTTTCTTATTTCTGAACATCCTCCATCCTACTGACTCTCATTTAACTCCTAGGTCTTTGAACATGACTGTTAATCAAGTCATTCATAGAAAAAGTCAGTGACAAAGTGTATTACCAGCAGTAACATTTAACCTCTATGTTACTAGACTAAAACAATGCTACAAACCTCTTTAGTACAATTCTACCAAATAACATCATTTGCTAATTAAAAAAAAAAAAAAAAAAAAGACAGATGTATAAAACCATTATAATTTATTTTACATGGAGGTGTGTAAAAAGTTACAATTAAAAATGGGCAGTTTTGCTGGCAGACTTCACCCAAAGTAACAACAGTTTGAAAAACAGTGCTTTAATTATTATACAGCAGTAAGAACTCTTAAAATGGCAAATCCCTCCAAACTCAGACCTGGCTGCTCTAATTCAACCTGGTGCAACTAGCTCAGTATTTTTCTTATTACAAGAATAATAGTAGGAATAAGAACGTGCAAAATATGCTAGCTAGAAAATAGTAGGAAATAAACTTTGTTGCCAATAAAGTTGTTAGAATCACTTCTTTATGAGAAAAGAGAGCAGAAGCTAATTGTGTTTGTCACAGGAAAAGACATTAGCTAATGAATTCTCTTTGTGTATTGGTCAGAAGAATGGTGTTTTCAACCCATTAGTTTTAGTTACTGTATCATTTCTCATTTGTGACAGACTCCAATGAAAATTAGGCTGCCATTCAGTGTCAAGTTATTATCATTTTTCATATAACACTTTCCATTTTAAAATGTAGTCTGATTCTAGAGAAGGACAAAGAAAATTTAGCAAATATATTAGTCTTTTGAAACAGAAACGACAGACTACATGTCCTACATTCTTCTGATGCACTTTTTACTTTTGGCCAGGAAATGTGACTATATTAAAATTGGTGGTGTGATGATTGAATTAAAACCCAGTAGAAATGTAAAGAAGTAAAAAGTCAGGTATTGATGGATCTTCTAGTTAAGAAAGAACATGAAGGAAACACTGAGGTTGAGGGTAAGTGGAGTATTGATATGTTTGTGGAGGAAGAATATAAAATTAATTCATACTTCTATGGAAAATATTTTTAAAATCTCAGCTGTTAGATTTGTACATATGAAAGAGTCATTTCATGTTTTAGAGTAGATGAATGCTACTATAGATTTAGTGTTTTACAAGAATTTCTAGTTCAAATCGATAAGACCTCAGCTGAGAGTGATGCCAGCTACTGAGAGTAACTGTGTTTTTTTTTGTTTTTAGGAGAACATTTACCTTCTGAAAAGGCGTGGAACTTGGAAGCTATGATTAGTTTAAAAATTAAATAACTGCTATTTTTTGTCTGCAGTGCACAGACTTTTAACTGTGTCAAAACTCAAGTTCTCATAGAAATAATTACATCCCACCACCCCACCATCCCCCTATTAACAAAATCATTATTTTTATTTACTTAGATATTGGTTTTCCTATGGAAATAATAACTACTTAGCACCATGACTTCCAGACCATTCACATGGTTGTTTTGCGTGTTTCTTAAGACAAACCAGATACCTAGAACAGCTGTGTTTAATTTTCCCCTAAGTTATCTAGTTATCTGTAAAGTCTGGATAGAGCCTTAAAATGTTTGGATTCAGTTAAAGAACACAAAAGGCATTGCAAACGTGTTGCTTCCCATTTCAGAGCTGTTCATACTTTTTACTGATTTACAGTAACATTCAGCTTTTATTTTTCCATTATAAGATCCTAATCACTCAATGTTCAGTGTTTCGAGAGAAGTGTCTTTTATCAATATAAGAAAAGAACCAGAAACAGAGATAAAAGTACGTCCTTCCCCAGACCCCTACAATATATACCACATGTGTTGGGTCTGAAAACCTTTGAATCCCACTGTGAAAGGAAGTATTGTAGCTTAGGCTTTTTGCTCTGTTTTTCAGGATAAAAAGGAAGCTAGGTTTGCATGGGGGATCCTCACACATGAACTGCCAGGGTATGTACAGGTCCACTTCTCCCCATTCTCCATGAGTCATAAGAAATCAAGAACAGAAATAAATTCCCATTAAAAAGCAACAAACCCATGTATCATTAGCTAATGGAGAAACAGATTATTAGGACATGTTTTAAAACATGCATTTGTTTATTCCATCCAAGTCAGGATATTAGGAAACCTCTAAACCTGTCATTGATGTATTCTCCATTGCTGTGAATCTGATTTTCCAGTGTGAAGTTGAAGACAAAATGTGAAACCTCTTCATTGTGGAAATGTTTCACTCGGGACGCATACTCGTCTGACTGCAGATGTTTAATGACATCAGGAAACCAGACAGATAAGCCGTAGTAGCTGTGAAAAACAGAAAAGGCTCAGTCACCAGTCTCACTTGTTTGAAAATCTCCCTTGGCTGCTTACGTGATGGAGCAGTTGCTCCACCATAATAAAATCCTCCACAAAATAAAAATGCTGAAAGATGCTGACACCAGAAGATGCCAGTTTTCTGAAGGACATATTCCTGATGAGTCAGACTTGCAACCAAGAACAGACTAACCAATAAATGAATAAAATCTTCCTGAATAAAAAGGATAATCATAGTGACAGAAAGATGCATGCAGATGATTCTTCTGTCAGTCAAGTCTGTCAAAAATGGTTTAAATACTCTTACCCAAAAGACAGAGTGAACCATACAGCTGTAAGTTTGATTGTATTATCCTTCACCGGGTAGTTAAAGCATCTCATAAACGTCAACCAAATCTGTAAATCATTAGGAAATACATTTATTTTAAATAATATTTTGAACAATTTTGTTAAATTATAGAAGATTTTTCATTCTGATTTTCTTGCTGCGTCAGGGCATCAGAGAGAGAAGATCAGCTCTTTGATACTGGTCATAGCTGTACTTCTCATACAGGAATGTTAATCTCCAACTATAGCCGGGTTGTATGTGTTGTGTGACTTTCTGTCTTCTTGTCATAGAAACAGAATGGTTTGGATCAGAAGGGATTTTTAAAGATCATCTAGTGAAATCCCCCTTTGATGAGAATGGACATCTTCCACTATCAGGTTGCTCAGAGCCCCATCCAACCCGGCTTTGAATGTTTCCAGGGAGGAGGCATCTACCACCTCTCTGGGTAACATGTTCCAGTGTTTCATCACCGTTACTGTAAAAAAATTCTCCCTTATATGTAGACTGAATCTATCCTTTCTAGTTTAAAACCATTACCCCTTGTCTTATCGCTGTGGACCCTATTAAAATGTCTGTTCCCATCTTTCTTATCAGACTCCTTTAAGTATTGACGGGCTGCAATATGGTCTACCTGGAGCCTTCTCTTCCCCGGGCTGAGCAATCCCAACTCTCTCAGCCTTTCCTCAGAGAGGAGGTGCTCCAGACCCTTGATCATTTTTGTGGCCCTTTTCTGGACCCACTCCAATAGGTCCATGCCTTTCTTGTGTTGAGGACTCCAAAGCTGGACACAGTACTCCAGGTGGGGTCTCATGAGACTGGAGTAAAGGGGCAGAATCGCTTCTCTCGACCTGCTAGCCACGCTTCTTTTGATGCAGCCCAGGATATGATTATCTTTCAGATGTAAGCACGCCCTTTGCTGGCTCACATTTTTTATAAACCTGTGTGAACTGTGTCTGTTAATTCACCCATGCCCCACCTCAAACTTTCCTAATCTCTAGGCAGCTTCATTTCACTATCTCAAATAAATCAGAGATCTTGTCAGAAATGTTTTCTTCTCACTTCTCAGTATTACACTGCTCTTAAAGTGTAGTTTAAACAAACTATGTTCCATAATACAACAGGGACTCACTGAGAGTTACATCTATCATAACCTGCCACAGCTAGAAATTGGTATTTTTAACTATATGAGGAAAATCTGGGACTACCCCCAGGTCAGCAGAGATGTCTGAGAATGGTGTTCTTTTCTTTCTGTCTCTCATCTCAGGATGATCTCCTCCTTTTCAAGAGAAGAGGCAGTTTGTTCTAGGAGATTTTAACATACAGCATGGAATAAGGAAGGTGCTCTGACCCAGGGGCTAGTCCAGTGAGATGACAAGGATGTGAGATAACCAAGCTGCAACTCCTTTAACTCTGGTTTAGTAACAAGGCCAAATCATAACATTTCAATCTTTAACTACTCCATTTTCTGACAAATAACTGTAAAAGTAGACACTTTCTGGATTCTTTTTTTCATAGGGAAAATGCCATTTTTCCAAGCAAAGCATTTTTGTGACAAACCTTGGTTTAAAACACTTCATCATAAGTCTGGAGAGCTTTAAGATGCCAGCTATTTAACAGATGTGAAAAGCTATTTTTGACTTTTTTTTTTTTTTTTTTTTTTTTGTTCAAAGATACTGCAAAATTTTGTTTTTTAAAAAAAGTAAACAAGGATACAGAGCACAGTCCCAAACTCTCTGAAATACGTCCAATGTAGTTTTCTAGTAAAACATGTGACATGCCTAAAAATATACAGATATGATGCCTTATAAAGGTTTTATTGACATTTGTTTACACAGTTTATTAATGACTTCATCACTTGTATAAGTAATGTGGCCATCTCAAGTTCCTGCTGATAATTTTTCATCTCATCATGTGTCACCTCTTTCCATAGGTACTATATTGATACGCATTCCCAGTACATATTATACTGTGGTTCTTGGGAATATGGTTATGTAAATGTTAGCCATCACCTGTGTGAACAACAATGAAGCATTTTCCTCTGCAGAAGTTGGGACCGACCTCTGTGATTCACCTGCTTCTCTTCTGGGTCAGGAAAACAGAACCTTACTATGGTTCCCAAATCTCCCAGTTACATGGAAAATGTAGCATTATAGCTATCACCAGCATGAGCTCAATCAATCCATCCCATTTCTGAAGGCTAATAGAAAGACAAATACAGAATGAACAGAGATGTTGCCACTTACACCATATAGCTCCGTGCGAATTCTAACAAAACACCTCCTGTACCAAGTTCCTGTATCGCTCTCTATTTCTATGAGTTCATCTATCTGCTTTGGAGTTTTGATTCTGTTAACCTAGAAATAAAAACAGAGCAGCAAATATTTGAATTTTCTTGAATCATTAACTGCCTGTCAAGGCATATTGAAAGGTTTAATAAATCCCATAAAGTAAAATTGAGCAGATATTAAACTTGTGTCTAAACAAGGAGTACTTAGGAAATATAAAGGAATACTAGTGCACTATAATGCCAAATTTTGTTATGGATATAACTGTTTTGGAAAAGCTCTCCTTTCAACACATGCAGGAAATCCATTTCCTCTGACTGAAACTGTTACTGTCAGGTTCTGCTAGGGTGTTGCTGTACATACCCCTAATGCCACAGAGGATAAAACATTATTTGAATGCTCAGTTAACCATGCCCAAAGTTTGCTATCAACTAATTTCTGACTTGCTATCACAACATTGTTGAAATTCTATTGATTAAAGACACAGTAATGATAACAGAAGTATTTGAAATATCAAGAATTAATAGTTGAAAAACATTTTCATCCTTTGTTCTTATTGTCTGTAATATTAGACAAGGAATCTCTTTTGGATGTTGACTTAAACTATCCTTTTTAATTAAGAGAGAAAAAAATTAGGTGAAACAATCTGGAACTGCACATATTATTGCTATTATGAGCAATTATCTACTTCATCTAAAGTGAAATGAGATAAACAGACTTCAAGGAAAAATACAGAATTACCAGTGACAGAGAATGTGATGTTGCCTGAAATGCTAATTTTCACTTGCACTCTCTTGTGTAGCAGAACAAGAACGTGTTATATGGTCTTTCCAGATACAAGACCTGAAAAATCTATACCATTGTATGGTTTTGGTTTTGGTTTACTCTTTTGTCTCAGGTTCATATCACAAAAAGCAGTGTATTCATCTACAGTTTATTTTAAAAGAAGGCAAATAGAGAGTGGAAATAAAATAAATAAAATGGGGGAAAGGGACTGACATATAGGGAGGGAGAGAGCAAGAGACTGTGTGTTCAATGTTTGGCTGCAATTTTGGAAGATAAGCAATAGCTTGTGTTTCTTCTTAATGGAATGAGGACACCACCACCCACAGATGTATCATAGTGTATTGCAGGTCATCAGGGGATAGCAGTATTGATGGTAAAGCTCCAGTTTTCAGTCCACTGCTTTTACAGACATATACTGTTTAGGATGCACCATCAGCCTCATCCGGTGAACAAGAACGAACAAAAGCCCACTAAGCGGTTTGTCCTGGGTTGCAGTGTATTTTGTCACCATCCTCATGTGCTGTGGAAATCAGGTGGGGCAGTGTTTCCTTGCTTCTACACCTGTCTCTTATACACA